TGAGAAAGTGTGCGGCTCATGAAATTTGGACCTTGATCAGTCAGAACTTCTCTGGGGATTCCTACCTGGCTGAAAAACTTAATCAAAGCTGTAGCTACCTGTTTAGCCGTTACTTCTCTTAAGGGGTAGGCCTCAGGATATCTAGTAGCATAATCACAAATAACTAAAATAAACTTGTTGCCTGTCTGACTCCTTTCTACAGGACCAACAATATCTACACCTATTCTCTCAAAGGGAGTGGAAATGACAGGGAATGAGGGGTGCAAGAGCTGTGTGTTTTCCTGCAGTGAACTGACACTCTGGGCATGTTTTACAGTAGTTTTGAACCTGGGTATACATTCCTGGCCAGTAAAACCTCTTACTTATTCGCATGAAAGTCTTCATGAAGCCCAAATGACCAGCCCACGGAACAGTATGACCTACCATGAGCACCTCAGCCCTCGACACCTCCCATACTCTGACTGCCTGTACAACATACCCTTTTCTACCACAAAAAGCTCAGCAAGTGAACCATGACTAGCCTCTGCATTTTTGAAGCACTCCGCTAGTGTGGGGTCATTTTTCTGCTGAAGAGCAAGATTACAGGGGAAGGAAACATCTTCCTCAGCTAGCCCTGGAGCCTCAACATCCTGCTCTGGCTGTTCAGCTGTCTTACCCAATCCAACACCTGCTCTCTGCGTGACTCCAACCTGTCCCCTCCGAGGGAACTCGAACTGCGTCTGTGACGACACTATGGGAACGAGAACACCCACTATTCCACGCCGAAGCCTCCACCTGCCCCCCAGTGTGCAGTAACCCGTAGGCACGACTAAGAGGAGAGCACACGGGTGCCGGGTGCAGAAGGAAGGTTCAGACTGTAAAACGGAAGTGTGAGGAGTTGCCCAGCCAGCTGCCTCACACAAATCCTGGAGCGAAGCCCCTACGAGGAAGGCCCTAGAGGCCGCCATGCCTCGAGTAGAGTGCGCTCTTACGGCCAGGTGAAGGTAACCCGCGCACCTGATAGGCCAGGGAAATAGTCTGAATGATCCAGTTGCTGATCGTGTGTTTAGAAGCGGGGAGCCCAGCCTTGGGGGACCCGAAACACACCAGCAACTGGTCTGCTTTCCTCCACTGGGAGGACCTCAGAGTGTAAATACTCAGCGCTCTGACCGGGCAGAGCAGATGAAGTCTCCCGTCCTCCGCCGTCACATGAGGTGGGGGATGAAATACCTGCAGCACCGTAGACCCTGCCAACCTGGACAGAACCTTAGGGACATAGCCCGGACAGGGGTGTAGGATGGCTCTGACCCTCCCGGGGCAAACTCCAGGTATTGAGGAGAAACCGAAAGTGCCTGGAGATCCCCCACCCTCCTCAGAGAGGTGATAGCGAGGAGAAAGTCCATCTTAAGGGTCAGGTGCTTGGCCTCAGCCGACTCCAGCGCTTCGAGAACCACCGCCAGGTCCCAAGTGGGAACCCTGGAACGAGTCACGGGTCTCACCACGGAGGAAGCGCACGACCAGTGGAAGCCTCCCCAGAGGCCCATCCCTCAGAGGGGCGTGGAACGCTGCCATGGCAGCCACATACACCTTGAGTGTGGATGGGGAAAGGCCAGCAGAGAAATGGTCCTGGAGGAACTCCAGTACCATTGTCACCGGACAGGTAACTGGGTCCACCGCCCGTTCTCTACAGGGAGGGGGACCTGCCATGGCGGGCCCTCGAGGAGCGATATTATGACCGAGAACCACACTCGGGCCGGCCAAAACGGGGCTACCAGCAGTAGGCTGACACCGTCCTGATGGACCCGCTCCAGAAGAAAAGCATACAGGCGCAGCCTTGGCCATGTCTGCACCATGGCATTTCGCATAATAACTCCACCACCTGAGGGTGGAGTCTCCATTCCCCGGGCCTCAGCCCCTGTCTCGGCAGCAGGTCTGCTCAGACAGCTGTCCAGACAGCAGGTCTGGATAGTCTGGACAGCTGACTGACAGCAGTCTCTGACAACTTATTTGAGAAGCAAATAGTGAACTGCATCCTGTATGCAGACTTGCATGTACAAATCACCAGCAGTAAATATTGTACTAGGAATAATATTAAACTACAAGAAGCCAGACACTTGCAAGCCTTTAATTAGAGTTATGTAAAGCTTTTGATGGGACAGTTAAGTCATAGAGAATTAGTGACAGCTCTGTGAAGAGGGGGCTGACGATGGATGGATGGATGGATGGATGCACAGCACCATCTCCAGCTACACACTGTCACTTACACCGCCTTTATGTGTAGAACCAGGGAGTTGTTTGTTCATAGTCCGTTACCAACCTTAAAACATATGAAAAAGTGCATTTGCAAACAGGATTTATGTGAGAGCAGCTCCTCTGCTGCAAGCAACAGCTCTTCTATTTTCACTTTTGTTTCATCTCACTAATGCAAACTGAAACTTTTTAGTTGATATTAATGTACCAAATGTTTCATGTTCTATGTAAAACTGATAGTATGTGGTTTTGTTTATTTTATGTAAATAGGACAGTTACCACTACAGCTGAACACTGAAAACTATACACTGAAGTTATGCACTGAATTTATTTAATAAATGGAGTCATTCATTTAGCAGAGTTTGTAAGGACATTTTAAGTTAACCAAATATACAAGCCACTGTATCACTGTTACAAGTTGTGATACTGATATAGTGGTAAATTTGATAATTTGATTGTATAAGAGAATGTTTGTGAAAGCTAAACTAATTGAACATTCCAAATCCTTTTAATACCTCTCTCCCATCAATTTCACCTGGCAACATACATATATATTAATATATACACCTCTCCAAATCATTGAATTCAGAGGTGTCTATGACCACAGGTGTATATAATCAAGTACATGCAGACTGCATCTACAAACATTTGTGAAAGAATGGGTGAATTCAAGCTTGGTACCGGGATAGGTTGCCCCCTGTGCAATAAGTGCATTTGGGAAATTTCCTCACTATTAAAGATTCCACAGTCACAGTTTTATTATGACAAAGTGGATGCGGTTGGGAACAAGAGACACCAGCCAAAAAGTGGTAGGCCACATAAAATCACAGAGCGGGGTCAGTGCATGCTGAGGCGCAGAAGTCTACAGACCTCCAAACATCGTGTGGCCTTCAGATTAGCTCAAAAACAGTGCGTAGAGAGCTTCATGGAATGGGTTTCCATGGCCTAGCAGCTATATCCAAACCTTACATCAACAAGTGCAATGCAAAGTGATGGAAGCAGTGGTGTAAATCACGGTGCCACTGGACACTAGAGCAGTGAAGACGTGTTCTCTGGAGTGACGAATCACGCTTCTCTGTCTGGCAATCAGATAGACGAGTCTGGGATGAATTACAGCAGAGACAGGCCTTCTTGTCCAATACCTGTGCCTGACTTCACAAAAGCGCTTCTATAAGAATGGTTAAAAATTCCCATGAACACACTCCTAATCCTTGTAGACAGTCTTCCCAGAAGAGTTGAAGCTGTTATAGCTGCAAAGGGTGGGCCAACTCCATATTAAAACCGACAGATTAAGAATGTGATGTCAATAACCTTCATGTGCATGTAGGCAAGCGACCCAAAACCTTTGGCAATATAGTGTTTGTTTTGAGTGTAGATTAACTTCATATTTTTTTATCAAACGATTTTAGCATCAGGCTACAAATGTGAAAAAAGTGAAAGAGGTCTGAATGCACTGTACATACCTATGACCTAATAGTTTTAGTTATTTACTGTTACTTTGTAGTTCAGGTCAGTGCTGAAAAGTGAAAATGTTCCAGGCTAGGTAAGGCATAAATGGCACAAATTAACCAGATGGGTGGTCACTTGTGTTCCAGTGAAACTCTGTTCAAATCTACTGCCCCAACCCCACAGCCCGAGAAGCAATTCAAAGTGAAATGCTATTTTCAGAAATCTTTATTTATTTGCCACAAATAAAAGGAATATCAGTTAATGGAAAAATAACTTTACAGCAAACAGTTAGTCCAGATAATACTTTAAAAAGGAAAATAAATGTAGTTAATGACCTTAAATGAATGCCTTGTGACTTAAATGGCATCTGCAATTAAGCATACATTTCTGAAAGGTTTACGTCACACAGCTAAATAAATGTTACGGTCAAACTAAATCGACACAAACTGACATAGATGACAATGTATAATGTTGACTAAATATCACATTATTAAAAACAACATTAACATGACTGAGGACATTGGCTACATAATGGCTTGAGAAAATTGCCTTATGATGCTGAAGTTCACAAAGTTTGTTAAATGTGTAACTCGTGAGGAGAATATATGTTAGATGTACATTAACATCCAGAAGAACATCTCTCCTAAGGCAGGTGCGTAGGAAAAGGGCGAGTGTATAAAAAGTTGCAAATAGACTCCTGCACAGTGTGTAAATTGCAATAATAAATTTATTTGCAGGGTTTTGGTGCTAGATGAGTCTAGCGAACAATCAGTAAGAAAATGTTTACAAAAAAAGATATAAAAATATTAATTCACCACTAGAGATGCACCGAAATGAAAACATTTGCTAAATACCGAATACCGAACACTGAACAAGTACATTCACATTTTTGCCTTTTTGTTTTTTACCACTGCATAAATTAAATAGTCAAAACGTGCTTTTTACTTAGTGTTTCCCACAGGATTTGGAGATTCTATGGTGGGTGGGTCCGAAGTTCAAGAGGGTCCGCTTTACTTTTAATGGACACATGTAATATGTTTTATACTTTCTCTGAATATCATCCAATTTTTCATACTGTACAGACACCTTATTTTGAACGCCGGACGTTGTCACATGTGTATCCTCGTGCTAAATTCATCAAGTCCGACCCAATATGATACATTTTGTGGTTCTCGTATCGCGTAACATGGCCTCTCTTCAGGAAGGACTCTCATACTGCAATACTTGTCTTTATAAAGAAGAGAGAAAATGACAGGATAAAGTTGCTGACCCTTGTCAGCTCGCTCTGGTTCGTTTCAGTTACCATAAAGGCTCGAATATGTGTGCACTCCAAATTTAGGTGCGGCTAGCCTAACCGCCTTCTCAGAAACAAGTGACAGAAACACTCAAAGCGGGTCAGACCGTTTTGTTGCCTTTTCTAAGAAGTCAGCCACAGATGGAGTGGAATAGGAGACAATTTAGCAAACGATGTCTGCAAACGGCGATTTTTGTATCTTTCTCTGACACTTGAAAATGCTTCCACACTGCTGACATGTCAACGTAATTGTTCGGTAAAATTTAATCGGTGATTTGACTTACCGAATACCGAAAGTGCTATTTTTGCTATTTTCGGGCAATTAATTTAGGTGGCCGAACATTTGGTGCATCCCTAATCACATTCCAAGAGGAAGAATGTGTGTGATTTCTCCTTTTAAAAGATACATAGACTTGCTTTGAATCAAAATGAAAAACATACAGTAGCTTTTCAGTCTACATTGTAAGCATGCACACTACAGAAGGCCTAGTAAAACATTACATATGGTAACATTTTTTGTTGTTTTGCGTTTTCCAAATTTTAAAACTGCACACTTAATGCATTTTTGTGTCAGTTTGAATCATAGGATTCAGAACAGTCTAAACTCTGCAGTGACACTTAGGTAACACCAACACACAAATCTAAGTCCATTTTTTCTTGTGGAGACTTCTCTTCTGAGATGACTGAGGGCTCTTTTCTTCATCAGCCAAAGACCCTTTTGATTTTTGAACTTTAACACTGCGGAATCTGGATTTAGACAGGGGAGTGATTATTACTGAAGGAAATGATCTCCCTCTTAAAACTCTTTTACCCATCTCTATAGGTTCCACCTTTTCCTTTGACACATTCTGCTCATCTTCCTTGTCCTCTTGACATATACCTGCTGCTGTATCTAATCTGTATAAATTTAGTATGTCCATCTTTTCATTAGAACTCTCAATAGCTCTCATGTTATTATCTTGGTCTCTACTGCTTTCCTCTAGCTTCTCTATAAGTTCATCAGCAGAACATTCAGCTTTCTTGTGGTTTTTGTCCTCATCTGATCCCACATCATCCTCTTCCTCGTCAGTGGCTGCAACAATCACACATCCCCCATCCTCCTCATCCTTTTCCTTGGAATCCACTCTTGGTCTTTTTCGTATGGATGTTCGTTTTGGAAATGTGTTTTCTTCTGCTTTGTCCTCTGCTTTGTCTGCACCAGTTTCAATCATCCTTCTGAGACTTCTGTCTTCTACTACTGGGTAGTCCACAGTTTTAGCTTTACTTTCTGTTAGCTCTTCCTCTAGTAATTCCATTTCTTCTGTTGCTAGTTCTTCACCATCTGTCTCTACCACCCTGTCATCTATCAAATTAGCTGTTTCCTTTTCCTGGTCCTCTACAGTGATATCAGGTGGAGGCCCTGTCCGCTTTCCAGTAGATGATTTTTCCACAGTTTCTGTTTGTTTCTTAGCATTTAGCTCTCTGTTTCTCTCAACTGTGTCAGTACCAGTCTCACCAGCGGCCATGCTGTTGTCCTCTTTTCCAAGCACTGCTGTTCCCTTGGTCAATGCAACCTTCATCTGCTCTTTAGCTCCTACAGCAGACCCTCCTCCTGCCACACTCTCAACTTCTTCCTCTTCCACTTCGCTTAGCTTCTTTACTTTCTTCACCTTCATTTCCATACTCTTTCCTTCTTCCTCAGCCTTCTCCTTTTTCTCCTCATGCCCTGCCTCTTGTTCCTCTCCATTAGTCTCTTCAGCAAGAGTAGTTTCTGCTTCCCCCTCTTCCTCTGGCTTACACTGTTTGCGAGCTCTTTTAGATTTACACCTATGTGTGGCAGGAGCAGACCTCCTCCCCTTCCTCAGAACTCTTGTTTCTATTGCTGGCTCATCTTTATCAGCACTCTTTCCTACCATTGTCCCCTCTTGATCATTTTCTTCCTTTTGGCTTTTTGTTCTTCGGGATCTTGGTGTGGCTTTTACTGCCATCCGATAGCTCCTTAGAACTCTTGGTTCAGTTGGTTCTTCTTCCTCAGTAGCATTTCCTTCATCTGTATCAGGTGTCTCTTCAGCACTTTCCCTAACAGAAGCCTCTCTCTGTCTATTCACACATGTATCTAAAACAGCAGACTGCTCCACCTCTAATGTCTCTTGCTGTGTCAGTGATTTCTCTGCCACAGCTTGTACTTTTTCGGTCTTAAATTCTGGCTCTGTTTTTTCTTCTTTCTGATCTGCAGCTTTCTTCTCATGGCTCACTTCAATCACCTGATCTCTGCTTTCCTCTAGTTTAGTTTCTTCTTCTCCCTCTTCCTCTGTCTGACACTGTGTGCGGGCTCTTTTGAAGTTACTTCTATATGTGGCAGTAGCAGACCTTCTTCCTTTTCTTAGAACTCTTGTTTCAAATGCTGGTTCATCTCCTGTGCTTTTCTGCCCAGTTGCCTCCTCATCTTGCCAATCATCTTGTCTTCTTGTGGGTTTGCTTTTTGTTGTGGCTCTCACTGTCTTTTTTTCACGACTTATCTGAACTCTGGTTTCAATAACTGGTGCTTCCTTTTCCTCAGAGGCACCTTTTGCTTTGTGGTCCTTTGTTATCAACAGTGTCTCTTGTGTACTTTCTCCAGCTGCAGTTCCCACTACTTCAGATGTGGAAGTTGACTGTTCTTGCTCTACTATGGCTGTGACCGCTTTCTCAGCAACATCATCCGAGGTCTTTCCCTCATCAGCACTACTGGCCTGTCCCTCCTCTGAGGTGTTTTGTTGCATGGCAGCCTCCACCTCTTCTGTACCCATTTCTGGATTTATATTTTCTACGTTTTGAGTTACATCCTTTTCTTTAAGTCTGTTTCCCTTGTCCTGATCAATCATCTGCTGTTGTTTCTCAGCTGGTTCCTCTTCTCTAATTTTTGAAACTTCCTTGTCATCACCACTTTTAGGCACATCTTCTTTAGCTGTTTCCTCAGCTCCCCCCCCTGTGTCTTGTATTGTGATGTTCACCTTCTCCCCAAACCCTTCCTCTTCCACCTTCACCAGATCATTTTTTTCCATTCCAACAGCAATGTTCTCCTCTGCCATTGTTTCTTCCGCATTCATTATGACTTCATGATGTGGGTTTTTCAGATCCACTACAACTACAGTCAGTCTTTGCAGATCAGAAAGTTGGGGTGCCATTTCTTCACTCTGTTGCTCCTCTGCTGAAGGTGTTGCTACTGAAGGTGTTGCCTCCTCTTCACTAGATATTAGTATAGCTATGTCACTGGTGGGTTTGGGTAATGGGTAATGCAGTGTCTCAGCCTCTCCTTCTTGTACTAAATTATCTTCAGTAGCTGTCACTCCAGCTGTGTTCTCCTTATCTTCAGTCACTGTCCATTCTTTTGACACTCCTTTTTCCACTTCTACAATAACATGTTCCTTTACCTCTATTTTATTTATCTCTGGGGCTTTCCCCTCACTCCCAGCCTTTGGTGGCTCTTCGGCTAATACCAGCCCAGTGTCTTCTTCATCCTCTTCCTCTGCTTCTTCAGCTGATTCCTTTGGTCCCTCGTCCTCTTCCTGGAATTGTTTGCGGTTTCTACAAACAGATTTTGTTCCCCTTCTCAGAATTCTTGATTCTACTGGAGGTTCATCTCCATCAGCACTCTTTTCTGCAGTTCCCCCTCCATCCTTCACTTCATCTTGCTGCTTTTTGCCTCTAATTTTAAGAGTCGCTTTGGATGTCTTTCCACCACTTCTCACAGATCTAGTTACAGCAACTGCTGGTAGTTCCACTTCCTCATCCCTCATGACTAGCTTCCTTTGATCGCATTCTTCACCTGAGGTCTGTACCTCCCTTTCTGCAAATATCTTGTATATGGCTTCTGATTGCTCTTCCACTACATTATCTACTACTGAAAAGTCTGCCTTTGCATCTGCACACATCTCAGAAATTGCAGACAGTTTCTCCTCCACTGGATCTGTAACCGTGACAGCATCCTTTGCCATAGCTTCAATCTGTCCTTCCATCCCAACACTGCCTATTTTAGCTTCATCCACCTCCTTTTTAGTAATATAAAGAATATCCACTATGTTGTCTTCCTTCTGCTGTTGGTTACTTCTACCTGTGGAATTGCAACTTGCTTTAACTGCATTTCTTCCACATCTAAAAAGTCTTGTTTCAGTGACTGGTGATTCCTCTGCTTCACTATTTTCCTCATCCACATTAGCATATTCTTCCTTTTCTTGACCACAGCTGTCTTCCTTCTTGGCAGTCTCTGCGCTCTTCTCCTTTCTCCCTCTATTATCTTCCAATACCAGCATTTCTGTGTCTGGTTTTTGTTCATCTGCAACACAATGAGAAACATCCTTCTCTTCTGCTGCTATCAGCTTCACTCGTTCCTTTTCTGCAACATACTCTTCATCAACTAGTGTTTTATCTACCTCCATCACACTAAGATGATGGCAGGTTGTTTTTAGGTCCACTAAAATGACAGTAGCTTCATGGAGCTTTGGGATTTCAGAGTCTGTGTCCTTTTCCTGAGGCTCTACTGATGTGGCAGCCTCATCAGGTATTACTGTTTCTGAAGCAGCAGCAACAGAGTCAGGCTCTTGTATCATGTCATCTGCTACTTCCTCCTTATCAGCTTCCATCAGTGATATCGTCTCAGTCGCTCCCTGCACCTCCTTGTTCACCACACTCGAAGGTATCACATCTTCTGCTGCTTCCTCTGCCTTTGGAATTGTACCTTCTTCCCCAACAGTTAATTCCTCGGTTGATATATCTTCTGTTTTGTCAGTTGTCTCCTCTTGTTTCATCTGGTGGTGTTCCTCCATCTGTTTGTCTGTTGCTAGTGCTTTCTCTTCTCTTGCAGAACTTCCTGTTCCCAGATCTACGTACTCTTCCTTTTGTGTTTTGCTTTGTTTTGTAGCCTTAGTGACTTTATGTCTTCCTCTCAAAGCTCTCTTCTGCACAATAGTGACCTCATCTAGCTCATCATCAGAGACCTCTTGTGTATCCTGTATCACTGATGTTTTTACCTCCTCACCCTTTTGTTCTTTCTCAAATTCAGCTGCTGTTTCTCTAAACTCTGTGGAACTCCCCTTCACTAGTGTATCTTCCACCCCAGGCTTCTCTTGCTTCTCTGTCTTCTCTTCATTTGTTAGTTGTTCATCTTCCAGCTGCTTTTTTTCTTCTCTTAATTCCTCCACAGCAACTACATCCTCTTTTAAGAAGGTAATTTCTGCTGGTTCTTCTCCCTCATCTAGATCAGCTGTATAAACCTCATTCTCCACTGCCAATTCATTTACTTCTTTCTCTAATTCTTCCCACACTTTCTGGCTGTATTGTGTATATTTGCATTTTGGTGTGGGGATGGTCATAACAGTTCTTCCTCTCAAAACTCTCCCTCCATCGTGGGCTGTAGTTTCCTCCTTTACCCACTCCTCTTGTTTGCTGTGCTGTTGAGTTCTCAGTCTGGGGGTTTCATTCTGTGCAGTTTTCATGGCTGTTCTACCTGTTTTTACAGTTTCACCATCCTCTGATGATGCATGTGTTGACAGACTTACCACATGTTGTGTAACTCTTTCTTCTGGATTTACATCAGTGACCTTGATTTGAGTTGCCTCTCCCACTTTTTGAGATTCTGCTTCCTTGTGCACTAAAACTTCTTCAGAGACTAGCAGCATTGCAATGTCTTTCTTCTGACACTTTTCCTCTGCTTCCTTTGCTTCCTCAATTTCTGATGCCACATTCTCAACTGTTATCTGTGACTTGTGAGAAGTATTTTTCTGATCAGGTGTGGCATTATCTTCTACTTGTGGCTCCTCAGTCATCAGTGTAGATGTAACATCACCTTCTTCTAGCTCTTGTGAGGCTAGGACAGTGGCTGTTTTTTCTGGCATGGTAGCTGCTTCTTCTTCAGGTGCAGTATCAACTACATCTTCTCCTTTTTCTTCAGTAGCCACACTAAACATACCCTAAAAATAATTAATATAATAAATATTGAATCACAAACACGTTGCTGTACTGTTCATACAGGCAAGCCTGCAAATGAAAATTTTCATATACACACCTTAGTCAGCACCAATTCAGAGACATTATGCAGTTCTGTTTTCTGTTGCGCATAAACTTGCTCCTCTCTGGGGGTTTCTGCTTCAATATCCTGGATTCTAAAAAATTTTGGATATCACTTGTTAATTTCAAGGATTTTTTAATGTAAGGATCTGATGGTGTGACACCAGACTCAAACTCAAATTCATCCTCAGCACTGCTCCATTGATTAGAGTTTATTTCTGTTCACCATTTTTATAATTGATTCTGTATTAATATATGTTGTCTGCTATGTAGTTACAAAACTCACTTTCACTCTGTAACTTGTTATATTGTGACAATAAACCTACCTACTTACCTAACACAGCAGATCATTTCTGAGAAGATGGCAAACATCAAACACTCAACATTCTTCATACATGCTCCTATGTACATTGAGGCAGTTTTTACTTATGCTTATACTTCATACTGGCCATTACAATATACCTTCTTAACATGCTACCAATGGAACAGATAGGTAACAAAACCCACAGCCCTCAATTAATATTGACCAAATGGAAATCTGCAGTACCTCCCTCATGAACTCACTGGACAAGAGACATCTTATATTTTCTTAAATTGGAAAAGATCAGAGGGTCCTCCAATAAATTTTGGAAAATAAGGGGTCTGTTATTTTCAATTTGTTAAGAGGATATATTTCCCACTTATTCCTGATTAAGGCTTTTGTGGTTGGGAGAAGCACCAATTCTGGATTGGTTGTGACATGGGTGATATGCTGTGGTACTGATCGTCTGTTTCTATTATGGACACAATTTACTGTTGGCTGACTGAAGGTGGTCTGTTTTTAGTTTTCTTTTTCTTTCTAGTTTTTGGGATTACAACGTTGATTTATCTTCAGTGGAGCTTCTCAGCAGCTAGTACCATGCACATCTGGTTCCACTGTTGTGGAGGCGGCTGTGGCTCAGGAGGTAGAGCTGGTTGGCCGTTAATCGGAAGGTCGGCGGTTACGTGTCGAAGTGTCCTTGGGCAAGATACTGAACCCCGAATTACCCCTGGCGGCTATTCCGCCAGTGTATGAGTGAGTGTGAATGTTAGTTTCTGTTTGAGCACTTAGGCTCAGCGCTTTGAGTGGTCGAAAAGACTAGAAAGGCGCTATACAAGTACGGAGCATTTACATTTACATTTGTTATTAGTGTTAGTTGGCACTGAGAGCTGTGCTGGACTACTACTTTATATTTATATAAAAACTGGACAAAACTGAACATTACTTGAAGAAAAGAAAGTGAGAAAGTTGAACTACCTGTGAGTGCAGAAAATATGTGTCTGTAACGTTATTCCAGCTATCGTTGTACTTTTATGTGAACAAGTTAGTGAAGCATAGCCCCGATGGATTCAAACTCAATTCAGAAAACAAACATTTTAGAAGTTGTTGTTCTGCTGTCTTGCTGACAGACCTGACAAAGCATGAATTCATATGTCTAACAGATCGGCATCATTTTGTAGTTATTTCGGCATCAGTTTGGTCCGTTTATTGCAATTAAGTCATAGCAAAATGTTTACTTTGGGTTCATAGCTGTAGTATTCGTGGATTGTGTTTATTCCATGAACTGTACTTGTATATCACCATTCTAGCCTTCTGACCACTGAAAGCACTTTGCACTACATTTCACACCTCTACATTCATCAAACTGGTTCATTAGAACTCAATATTCTGCCTGCTTTTGTGAGAGATTTTGGATTATTGAGCCTCGTTCTCTCCTTTCCAACTTTCTTTCTAGCCAAATTTATGTATCATGCTTTATTCCTTAAATGCATTGTGGTGCAAGCACTGTGATATTAGTTTTGATAGTTTGTGATATGACCATTTGTGACATTACATACATACATACTGTATATTCATATTTGAAACTGAAATAGTGTCAGGTTGATGCCCTTACAGGACTAAATGGCTTGACCAACATTTTCATTATTTATTTCTATCAACATGTTGATAGAAACACGTTGTGTGCTCTGCACCATCTAAACAACATGATTTCCTGAAATAACATTTGTTGAGTTACTGTTGTAATGCTTCAACTCGACTACGGAAATATGATTGTAAATCAGCAATCATGTTTTAGACTTTATCTCCAGAAATTTCAATGGAGAGGTATATACTATATACATATTTCACACATCTGAAATGGAAATATTAATTTAACATTTAATATTGCATTTATGATGTTTTCAGGAGTGACAGGTTTAACTATTACTGACCTGATAACTTTTTCTGACTTGTGGTCTTTGATCTTTTCTCCCATCTTCCTTTGCTTTGAGCCACTACTCCTTCCCCGGGATGCAACAGGCAGTTCAACCTCTGAAAGTGTTAATAATGTATAATTGTAACAATCTACATTATTAAATTAAAAAGTTACAGTGTAAAATTAAGAAATGTTGACCTTTGGTTGCTCTCAGCAATGTCACTTCCTCCTAAAAATCAAAATCACAGAGATTATTTTACTTTTAGAATGTTTTTGTTTATAAAATAATTTAGTTGTCAAACTGGAAGAAATTATAATAATGTACCACAATTTCAACAGTGCATTTCATAGATTCAGCTTCTTTTATTTGTGTGGTAATTGCCTCCATCACCACATCCTTTTCAGTCACTTCTGTAATCACAAGTGATTTCTCCGTGAATGACAGACTCTTTGATACTGCTGTGAAACAGAATAACACATGCACTCTTTGAATGCTTAGTACACTGAGGTACACACAAAAATTTGACATTGTCAGTGAACATTTGTCAAATTATTTTACAGTGCATTATTTACATAATTAGATTAGACATTTCATAACTTCAAGATGATTTAAAATGCAATCTTTATGGTGTCAAATCTTTTGAAATATACTATTCCATGCAATTTATCTGTCTAGCTAAATAAGTACAGGTTATTTCTTACCACTCAGATTAATGGCCTGAATCTTGCTGGCAATATTGGTCCTCTGGTTGGGCCCGCCTATGCTCTGTACCTCCCAAAGCAGATCTGTGTCTCCTGGGTACTGACCCAGGTACTTCTCACACACTAGGACCAAAGACAAGTGCATTGAACTTAAGGTAATGTACTGTTTATAGTTCTATACAAATACCAGCACAAACGCTGCTGACTGTGAGAAAGTAGATTCATGCAATACATATCATTAAGGTGCACTAACTGTAGGGTGTAATCATGTACCTTTATACATGGATTGTGTGAGGGGGTACCTCAAGCCCAAAGAGTCCTCTTGGAAACTGAGCACAAAGTCCTCCAGCATCTGGAGGCCAAAGCCTTTACCACGCTGATTTTTTCTAACAAATATGGAGTCCATCACAGGTAGCTGATAGTTTCTGGTTGAAAAATAATTACATATGCTGCCTACAAAAGGAGACAAGGAAAACAAAAATGAGCATACTCATGAGAACAGCGTCAGAAAGGAACAAACCAACAGTTTATCACACATAGATCAGTCTTCTATAGATATAAATATATACTGCTAACAAAAATAAATGGACCACTTAAATCACACATCAGATCTCGATGAATGAAATAGTTCAAAGCTCAAAATCTTTACTGTACATTGTATAATTTGCTGAGAACAAAATGACGCAACAATTGCACTCCCGACAACCTCTGGGCATGCTCCTGATGAGACGGTGGATGGTGATGAGAGGGTGATCTCCTCTCAGATCTGGATCAGGGCATCAGTGAGCTCCTGTACAGTCTGTAGCGCTACTTGGCGGCGCCAGATGCACCAATAATGTCCCAGAGGTTCTCAATTGGATTCAGGTCTGGGGAACGTGAGGGCCGGTCAATGGCATTGATGCCTTCATCATCCAGGAACTGCCTACACACACTGGCCCTCCAAGGATAAGCCTCCCCAGACCATCACTGACCCACCTCCAAACCAGTCATGCCGGATGATGTTGCAAAACCACGGCGTCTCCAGATTCTTTTATGTCTGTCACATGTGCTCAGTGTGAACCTGCTCTCATCTGTGAAGAAAGCGGGGTGCTAATGGTAGACCTACCAATTGTGGTGTTCTCTGGCAAATGCCAGTCGAGCCACACATTGCTGGGCTGTGAGCACAGATACCACTAGAAGACATCAGGCCCTCATGCCACCCTCATGGAGTCTGTTTCTGACAGTTCAGTTAGAAACAGACCATGTGGACTGCTGCTGGTTTGATGCCCTTCTAGGGCCCTGTCCAGTTCTTCTTATGTAATGGCCCATTGCCTGGTACCTTGGCCATGTTCTTGAGACTGTGCTGGGAGATACAGCAAATCTTGCGATGACACGTATTGATGTGTCATCTGGGAGGAGCTGGACTACCTATGCAACCTGAATGGGAGGCAGATACCACCACATGCTACCAGTAGTGACAAGGACACTAGCAAAACACAAAACTAGACAACAATCAGTCAGGAAGGATAAGGAGAGAACATCTGTCGGTGGCCACCACCTGCAAAATCATTTTGGGGGTTGTCTTGCTGTTGCCTCACCAGTGAACCTTTTGTGCAATTGTGAGCAAGTGACACAGATTCACAATTGCTTATGCTTCCTAACCAGACAGATTAATATCCCTGAAGTTTAATATAAAGAGTGAGCAGGATTTACACACATGTTTTGGGCCAGACAGTCTAAAACATCTCACCGTGTTTGAAACAACTTAGCAGTAAACAGAGTTGGCATCATATTTCCACATCAGCACACACAGTTTTGCTCTAAAACCTGAATAGAAACCGCTCAAAAAGTGGGTTGTTCTACTTAAAATATACCAAGTGAAAGAAAGAATAAAATAACTACAATAAATTTATTTCATATAAATTACCTGAAGGTTTGACCGAGTAGAAGCCAACACCCTCTCCATTATTCCAGAGGATTTTTGCATTTTCTTTTTCTCCATGGCAGAGAAAAGGAAGCTCCTCAGAGCTCATCTCCTTGGCTCTATAGATGACACGATTAAGGATGTATAAAACTATTCTCTCTCCTATTGTCTTCACCTGAGGGACACACATAGAACATGTTACTCTTAATGTAATAGCATCTTGTCACATGTTTGAATTTATTGTATTAGAAAACTGGGAGCACTTTACAGCTTGGTAATAACATGGTAATAGTGGGGTAACAGTTCGATAATAATGAGGTAATAATTAATACCATGTAATTACTAAAGTAATAACCAGTTAATAGTGCGATATTAAGAATGGGTATAGCTGGGTAATATTAGACTGGGGTAAAAACAAAGGATAATAATGGAGAAATATATGTAAAGATAGCAACAAGACAAATCTATTTAGTAATATTACTTTGGTATTGTAACTTTCTGACAATAAAATAGTATTATTGGAGTAATATTTGGTTTACAAAATGGTAATATGGTGAAATGAATGGGGTAATAACCTGAGGTAGATGTTTTCCCCAAATTATAGTGTCATCAGCATAATACCTTTAAAATCACATGATAATTATTGGAAGTCAAAATGAATAGTTAACAAATTATAATGCTGAAATTCTTTCTAACTTATGTACCACGCATTCCCTTTTGTTCCTAGGTAATAATTGTAAATGGTCTGTACTTGTATAGTGCCTTTCAAGTCTTCTGACCACTCAAAGCGCTTTTACACTTCGTCACATTTACACACATTCATACACTGAGCCTAACTGCTCAGAACAGAAACTACCATTCACACATATTCACACACCGATGGAACAGCCATTGGGGGAAATTTGGTGTTCAGTATCTTCAGGGTATCCCCAGGATAGGAGTTAAATTCATGACATTTTAAGACCTTTTTAATACCACCTAGGATCTGTGAAGGTTCTCAGCCATCCAGGTCATAGTTATCCAACAAAGGTTGAGGTCAGGGGTAACTGGACCACCTAGGATGAAATTTAATGCCAACTTTGCTGCCATATAATAGAAATCAGTATGAATTTAAAGCCCGAGAAAATTATTATTAAGTTACCGGATTTTAATAAAACATTATAATATTGACCTTCAAGTTTAATATACAATAGCTTTTTGAGGTGTGTTTGTACTCTAATAACATAAAATGAATAAAATATTTGTCGCATTAAGAACTCTTCTGCTGTGAAACTAAAACTAAAAATTAAATAGAATAATAAAAAATGAAACTAGTGCAGTATGAGCTAGGCCTCTACCTTGGCTACATAAGGCATGTATTGTAATGTAAGACAATATGCCAAAGTAAAGTAAATGCTGTTTGATTCAGTGATTATTAATCCCGTTCCGCTTTTACATCTAAAGGCTGCATGAAACCAGGTGGAAAGGAGTTGGGCTCTGGTTTGTTTTTTCCTTGTCCCAATAACAGGTGTTATGCCAAGTTCTCCGTGCTCGCCAAGAAGGCATGCACCTCCAAGTAGTCTACTGTTAAGGCTAATGTACTGCGGTAAGCATGTTGACTCATTTCCGTTTCCGGTGCTTGTCTATTGGTAAAGTGTTGTGCTGCTCTCGCTAAATACCAGTTAAATTTGTTTGATTACAGTGGCTAACTGTCCGCTAAACACTTATTCTTAGAGTAATTTTGCCAAAGCACTCACTTTTTTCCATCTTTTAGTAACTGCTGTTCAATCTCATAGTTGTTCAAAAGTTTCGGTAGCTAACGCTAAAGTACTTTAGCTTAGCCGTTAGCGACACTAGCTCAGCAACTAGCGATGGCTTCTCCTTCTCCCTCTCGCTCTCCAACTTTCTCCTGCTCGGTGTGTCAGATGTTCAGTTACTCCTCTGCCTCCTTTAGCGGTAATGGTATGTGTAATAAGTGTAGTTTATTTGTAGTCATGGAGGCGAGGCTCAGTGATTTAGAAGTCCGGCTCCGCACCTTGGTAGATAGTCTTTAGCTACTGTAGCTAGCCAGTCCCCGGTAGTCGGTGCGGAACGGCCTGAGTTAGCCTGTGGTAGCCGACCCCCGGCATCTCCTGAGCAGCCAGGAAGGGGTGGCTGGGTGACTGTCCGAAGGAGGAATAGTCTTAAGCATTCAAAGCCCACGGGGCACCACCAACCTGTTCACGTTTCCCCACTCAGCGAGACACACCCGCTGAGAAACCAACTCTGATCATTGGCAGCTCTATTTTGAGAAACGTGAAGTTAGCGAAGCCAGCGGCCATAGTTAAGTGCATCCTTGGGGCCAGAGCGGGCGACATTGAGTCTTATTTGAAACTGCTGGCTAAGGATAAACGTAAATACAGTAAGATTGTTATTCACGTCGGCGGTAATGACTCCCGGTTATGCCAATCGGAGGTCACTAAGATTAATGTTGAGTCGGTGTGTACATACGCAAAAAACAATGTCGGACACCGTAGTTTTCTCTGGACCCCTGCCAAATCTGACCAGTGATGACATGTATAGCCGCATGTCATCATTCTGCCGCTGGTTGTCGAGGTGGTGTCCAGCAAACGATGTGGGCTTTGTAGATCATTGGCAGACTTTCTGGGGAAAATCTGGTCTGATTCGGAGAGACGGCATCCATCCCACTTGGGAAGGAGCAGCTCTCATTTCTAGAAATCTGGCCCAGTTTATTAGTGGACCAAATCCATGACAACCCAGAGTTGAGACTAGGAGGCAGAGTCGCAGTCTAACACACTTCTCTGCCCTTCTATTTCAGCAGTTACCCACCCAAAACCCTACGCAGAGTCAGAGTCTAACACACTTCTCTGCTCCTCCATTTCAGGAGTTACTTAGTGAAAATCCTATAGTGACGGTGTCTGTCCCCTGACCATTGAAATTATTTAAATCAAAGATAAACAGAAGAGGAACTGTGCATAAAAACCTCATAAAAATTAAAACCACAAGAGCAATAGTGCAAACGAATAGGAGAGTTAAATGTGGACTCTTAAACATCAGATCTCTCTCTTCTAAAGGTGTACTAGTAAATGAACTAATATCAGATTGTCATATTGATTTATTTTGTCTTACTGAAACCTGGCTGGGTGATGGAGAATATGTTAGCCTAAATGAATCCACCCCTTCCAGTCATATTAATACTCACATTCCTTGAGGCACAGGCAGAGGAGGTGGAGTTGCAGCTATCTTCGAATCTAACCAACTAATCAGCTCTAAACCTAAACTAAATTAAAGCTGCAATCAGCGTTGGGCGGGCCATATTCTGGAGCTCTGCCGGTGCAGCTGTGAATTTGCTACGCGGTTCCGACACCGCATGAAGGTGTTATATGTCACTTCCTGTGTCACCTATGTGAAGCTACATAGCACTTGCCGCTATGAATATAAATTGGTATTGGTGTATAGATGTCTGCGGGGTATGGAGGACCGATCCTGACACAGTCAGAAATAAATACAGAAATAAGTAAATGCTCAATAAATAAGCATCCAATTAAATACACAAAAAATAAAGTAAATAAATAAATGTAGGTAGTAATTAAATTATACAAGGAGACGTATATATAGATGAGAGAGATGTATATATTTTAATTAGCGCCTTTACTTATTCACCTTTGTAATAATTACCTTATTTATTTATTCTCCGTTATAATCTTCAACTTTATTTATTAATTACTTATTTTTTAAATGTATTTATGTGTGTGATTTAATATTTTTGTCCGTTTTATTCTTCCTTTGTATTTTTTTTTACCTTATTTATTTTCACCCATGGTATTTATTTCTGCCTGTCCTTTTTAAATTTCTGTATGCATTTCTGCCTCATTATGCAAATGAGGAGGGGCTGTGTCTCAAGGGGTCATCTTCTGCCCATTGGTGGACCAGTCAGACGGGAGAGCTCTAGGCCTACTCTGCCTGCAGACATCAACGATCTTGCTCCTCACACAGTCAGATGGCTTCCTTCAGTGCGCTGAGGTGGTCCTCCATAGCGGGGTGGGAGAGTTATCAAGCACGTAAAGTTTGGTTCAGATGTCTATGAAGATTCTCAGTCATCCAGGTCATAGTTATCCAACGAAGGTTAAAATGAAGGGCAACTGGACTTGGTTGAAGCTACTGGAAGACGTTTCGTCCCTTATCCAAAGGACTTCTTCAGTTCTGACTGACTGGCAGGGAAACTCAGCTATTTAACCTCAGTGGGGTCGTTATCTCGGGTCATCGATACCGCTGGTTCGTTAGTGTTCCTTGTTGCTGTGACGACAGTCGTTACAGTCGTTGAGACTACCTGTGGCCAAGACTGAACGACCATCGTTGGTATCTTCACCTGAGGCCAATAGGTTACGTTTGTTGAGTTTCCTGGGAAGTGATGAAAGGACAGCATTGTACAATGCTGTCCTTTCATCACTTCGCGGTTCCGACGCCGCATGAAGGTGTTATATGTCACTTCCTGTATCCCCTTTGTGGCGCAACATAGCACTTAGCGCTATGAATATAAATCAATATTGGCGTGTAGATATGTTCAGGGCACGACAGTTACTGGTGTTACTGGTAAAAAATTTCAACTGGTGAAATTTTTCACCAGTTCTGACGTGTGTACAAAGTTTGGCGAGTTTTCGAGTATGCTCAGGTCCCCAAAAAGGAGCTTACTTTGCAAAAAAAAAAAAAATTTATATAATCTTTACAAATACAATAGGGACCTTGCACGGTCGTGCTCGGGCCCTAATAATCTTTACAAATTCAATAGGGCCCGAGCACGACCAAGCCTTTAACGTCTTCACTTAAAATCGAAGAGGTTCAGAGTCAGACCTACGTCTTACCGAGATTGTCGTGATATTTTACATCACTTATACTTCATATTATGTACATAAAAATACCACATAATGTTAGACTAGTTTAACGTTAGACACGTTGTGAACCCTGCTTGGTTTTCAGACAGTTAACGTTGGGATGTAGTACACAGTTACCATAACTATTATTTTGCAATTTATGCTGCTTACTGTTTGGTGAAGCAAAAAACTTACTTGAACAGGTCGTTTTATTTTAGGTAGCAAGGAGCAAACTGCCCTCTTTATTAGATTGTGGGGGGAGAGCGACCACCTCTTCACTGGGGCAAAATTTTCTGCCAACATGGCTTGGAGGTAATTACAGTATCAATAGCACTTTTGTAACATCTGCATTTAATCATCGTGTATTTAAAGTTACAGTTAAATGAGCCCCCATCCTATACAAAGCCTTTAACAATAAGACAACTAGTAGATGGGGCAGCCCTTTGTTGTGTTTTTGTGTCTCTGTCCTGCCCCGTCACCTTTTCCAGTTTTCACAAAATTACCATTTCTTTTGTTTTTCTGTGATTAGGACAATTTTGGAGAAAATGGGCCTGTGGGGGAAGGTGACTTCCCTCCAAGCTTGTTTTTCTGCTGTTGTTATTTACCATGATTGATTTTTTGTGCCTTAGGATTGCAAGTGTCCAGGGTCAGAAGAGGGTGTAGGTGGGAAGCCCCCTGCTGCAACTTGGCCCTAGTTTGTATGAGGTTGGTTTGGATGAGGTGTTGGGACAGAGGCATTCCACCCCACTGGTCGTAATTGCCTCTATCCTTGAGGACACACCAGGGCCAAGTACTGCAGTGGGTGACCAGGAGGAGGAGGAGGAGGAGGAGGAGGAGGAGGAGAGCCAGCAGAGAAAGAGGGACAGAGAGGATGAGCTGCTTCAGCTTCTCAAGGAAGATGAGGTTACAGAGAGAGGCAGAGGAGAGGAGAGCACAGAGAGGATGGACAGGCTGTTCTCTCTACTAGAGAGACTTGCCGAAAAAAATAATTCTGCATGCCTTCGTAGGCCGCGAAAGCCACGCCCTTGGAAGGATGCGGCCCCTGAATTGAGACACAGCTTTGGTGTGTATTACTTTTACAATGGCCGCAACACATTTTTCTAAAACATTTTCTTGCCTTGTGCCGTCTCATTCCACACTTATAGCAAGTCAAGTTAGTATCTTCAACTTTTCTGTTATTAGTGTGCTTTGGCCTTGTCTTACATTAGTCTTCATTACATTGTCTGTGGTTTCTGCCGCTTTCATTTTCTCCGCCTCCTCATATACCAGTAGTCTCCTGGTGGTGATGTCAAAGTGTCCTTGGTCAAGATACTGAACCCCAAAATTGATCCAGATGGTTGTGCCATTGGTGTATGAGCGTCTGTTTCTGATGACTAGTAAGCACCTTGCATGGTAGCCAATGCCATCAGTTTTAGTTGGAAGAGTAGAAAGGCACTATATAAGCACAGTTCTTACCATTACAATTTACCATTTCATATACATCATGATCTCTCTGATTAGAATAATAGTGAGAGAGGAGTTTCTAGCTGGTAAAACATCTCCACATACCTCCACAACTCCCTCTCGAGCAGGGTCTGCTGTCTTGAGAATGTCATCCACTGACCACCACTGGTTTAGCAGGTACAGAGCCACAGCAGTGAATGGGTCACTGGGAGAGAACAGGGCCAGGATCTTCTTTTTATCACTGGATCCATACAGTGGGACAAAGCCCACACTGGAAACATCTATGGTGACCTGAGGACGTACACACGGCTCTGTACACAAAATCGCTTCAATCGTCTTCAAACACACTTAACACCTAAAAAAAGGATTTAAACCTCTGACATCATTTTCTGAACAAAAGAAATGTCTAACAGTAGGCTGAGGATGACTCTCACCCTACTGTGATCTTCCAAAGACATTCCAACTGGTTCAAGGACTCAAAGATGTGTTTACAGGTTTCCCACCATAGATACATCTGGCATTAGTACTGATTTATAGTATAGCATCCAAATGTCTTGCAACAGTCAATAATATAATAACCCCTGAAAATTTAATACAGTATGCACTTCAACAGAAAATATATTAAAACCCAATAATGTAATACATTCCTGACTGATATTGTAATAACATTTTTACGATACTGTAATAGATACTATTAGGGGTCTAAGCCCAATGAGGCAGTGAGGCTCCCAGTACCAGCGCTATGAGATTTATACGATTTTTATTAATTTTTTCCATTGGTAAAAGTCATGCAGCAGCCTAAACTGTCCTGAACATCTGCAATGTGGCCTTATGGTAGTTCAATCCCCTCGGTTCTGATCATCTTCCCTCTTTTTGATACCATGCGACCACACTTGTCCAGTCCGAACGACATTCCAATGTCGTTGCTGTAGATCCTGGTAGTGTGGGTCAGTGAGTCGATGACTCGCTCATTTCCGGCATACAGCTTGATGTCAACCATGTAGAGGAGGTGACTGATGGTTGTTCCACTTCGGAACTGATATCAGTAGCCAGTCTTTGTGATGATCTGGCTGAGGGGGTTCAAGCCTATGCAGAACAGCAGCGGGGATAGTGCGTCGCCTTGGTATATGCCACATTTGATGGTGACTTGTGCAATTGGCTTTGAGTTGACTTCCAGACTTGTTTTCCACAGCCCCATTCAGTTCTTGATGAAGGCTATTAGTGTCTTGTTGATCTTGTACATTTCCAAGCATTTCAGTATCCATGTATGTGGCATTGAGTCGTAGACTTTCTTGTAGTCAATCCAGGCGGTGCACAGATTGGTCTGCCTGGTCTTGCAGTCTCAAGTGACTGCTCTATGAACCAGTAGCTGGTGCTTGGCTCCCCTAGTATTACTACCCATTCCCTTTTGGGCCCTGTCCATGTATTGAGCCATGTATACTCATCTTAGCCGCTATGATGCCTGACAGGAGCTTCCATGTTGTGCAGAGGCAGGTTATTGGCCGGTAGTTGGATGGGATTGTTCCCTACTGGGGGTCCTTCTTGATCAGGACTGTCCGTTCTTGGGTTAACCATTCTGGGTGGGTCCCATCCCTCAGCAGTTGGTTCATTTTGTGCTGCCAGGCGTTCATGGAATGCGGTTAGTTTCTTCAGCCAGTAGGTGTGGATCATGTCAGGGCCTGGTGCTGTCCAGCTCTTCATACCTGCCACTCTTTGTACTCACTCGTTGTAATGGTTACTGGATCTTTGATCTGCCGTGGGCAGATCTGGAGATTGCTGTGATCTGTTCCTCTTTCTCCCATATGTTCTTACAGTCTCAGCCGTGGGTGGATCTGATCTTGTGTTATTACCCTTATTTTATTTATTTATTTACATACACACACACACACACACACACACTTTATCTAAGAGTATAAATATAAAATATAAGAAAAATATAAAGGAGTGTGGGTATGTACAATATTTACATAAGAATTATTATGGTGAACCAAAAAGGACTACATTACATTTATTTATTTAGCTGACGCTTTTATCCAAAGCGACTTACAATTGCTATACATGTCAGAGGTTGGACGCCTCTGGAGCAACTAGGGGTTAAGTGTCTTGCTCAGGGACACAATGGTGGATGGGTCACAGTGGGGGATTGAACCCGGGTCTCTCACACCACAGGGATAGTCCATTACGCCACTGCCACCCCACAAAAATAGAAAATACAGTCCAGTTAAAAAAAACTAACTAAGTGTTCGTGTGTCAGACACTTAAAGGGAGGAGTTATAGAGCTTGATGGCCACAGGCAGGAATGACTTCCTGTGGCGCTCTGTGGTTCATTTTGGGGGAATGACTCTTGCACTGAAAGTGCTCCTGTGGACCTTAGACAGCATCCTCCTCTCTGACGCCACCAACTTAGAGTCCAGCTCCACCCCCACAACGTCACATGCCTTGTGGATCAGTTTGTTGAGTCTGTTAGCGTCCACTACCCTCAGCCTGCTGCCCCAGCATGCAACAGCAACAGGATAGCACTGGCCACCTCCACAATGTCCACACTGACCCTCTGGATGGATCAGGGGTCACTGATGCCTTTGCTCTCCTTAGATCCACAACCAGCGCCTTAGTCTTTGTCACGTTGAGCTGCAGATGGTTCTACTCACACCATGTTACAAAGTCCCCCACCACGGCTCAGTACTCAGCCTCGTCACCGTTGCTGGTACATCCAGCGGCTGCAGCTCAGGAGGTAGAGCGGGTTGGCCGTTAATCGGAAGGTCTGCGGTTCAATCCCTGGCTCCCCCTGGTTGCGTGTCGAATTGTCCTTGGGCAAGATACTGAACCCCAAACAGCCCCTGGTGGCTGTTCCGCCAGTGTATGAATGTGTGTGAATGTTAATTTCCGTTTGAGCACTTAGGCTCAGTGTATGAATGTGTATGACTGGTGAATGCAGTGTAAAAGTGCTTTGAGTGGTCGAAAAGACTAGAAAGGCGCTATACAAATACAGAGCATTGACATTTACATCCAACCACAGCAGAGTCATCAGAAAACTTCTGAAGATGGCAGGACTCTGTGTGGAAGTTGAAGTCTGTGGTGTAGATGGTAAAGAGGAAGGGAGAGAGGACCATCCCGTGCGGGGCCCCGGTGACACACAGTGTTGCAGGCGCACGTACTGTGGGGTCTGCCAGTCAGGTAGTCAACAATTCAGGACACGAGGGGGGCATCCACCTGCATCGCTGTCAGCTTCTCACCTAGCAGGGCCAGCCCAATGGTGTTGAAAGCAGTGGAGAAGTCAAAGAACATGACCCTCACAGTGCTCAATCCAGATGGGCGTAGATGCGGTTGAACAGGAAGATGGTGGCGTCCTCAACTCCCAGTCGGGGCTGGTAGGCGAACTGGAGTGGATCCAGGAGAGGTCTGTCCATGGGCCGCAGCTGTTCCAGAATAAGTCTCTCCAGGGTCTTCATGATGTGGGAGGTCAGTGCCACGGGTCTGTAATCCTTGCAGTCACTGTAATGTGACGTCTTTGGCACAGAATGAGGCAAAATTGTCTTCTACAGCATAGGGACCCTTTGGAGACTCAGGCTCAGGTTGAAGACATGGCGAAGGACTCCACAAACCTGGGGGGCACAGGCTTTGAGCACCCCGGGACGGACACCATCAGGGCCTGCAGCCTTGTTGGAGTGGAGTCTCCTCAGCTGTCTTCTCACCTGGTCAGCAGTGAGGCACACAGAGGTCACATGTGGGGGAGGGGGAGAGGAGTCGTCAGGCTGGAGAGAGCTGTTAACCTGAGTGCCGGAAAAGGGGGGAGTAGGGATCTCCCAGGAGGAGGGGGGAGAAGTTGGGTTGGAGGTGAGGCAGCAGCCTAGTTAGTGGGGGCATGGGCAGGAGCCATGTCATCAGATCTGTTAAAGAACAGATTAAGTTGGTTGGCCCTGTCCAAGCTGCCATAATATCGTTGTCTTTTGTATCAATCGTCAGGGGATGCGGTGGTTCACTTGTACTGTGTGATCAGTAGGCTTTAGTTTCTATCTTTCATTTTTTTCACGTCCGTTTGAGTCCATTTGAGTCAGTGTGACAGCCTGAATACAACCTTCAAATGTATAATGCAACTGCAAAAGTGTCTGCTTCTTTTTGAGATCGATTTTCCAACAAATCTGACAATATTTCTCCGGGGAGTGCAGTAATAGACAGTTGCAGCGCCGACAATTTGTGCAACAGTAACTAAGGGGGGCGGGGCTTAGCGAAGGGTCAATTAAGTGTCTTGCTCAGGGAAACATTGGTGGATGTCGCAGTGGGAATCAAACCTAGGTCAAAGGAGTGCATCTTATCCACTGTTTCCCCATTTGTTCCCCCTTCGTGGTGTCTCTGTGTGGGGGCCTCTCTCATTCCCAAATTTATGCCTATAGATACTAGATGTTTATTGGAACCTCGAGATGTTTCCATGTGTTATAGCCTGTTTCTAGATTGTGAAGATATGATCTGTAGCCTTTAGTGCCAAAAGATGGTCTGCTCATCTGACAGAGATCACATCTCAGTGGACAGATGATGCAGCTGTGCAACAGGTCATATACAGCTTGCATCGTGGGTGGCAGGGACTAAGACAAGGAGTTGAGGATTGAAGATCCAGAACATTTCGAAAATGAGAAAAGGCCCTGTGTATGTTGGTCTGCAACTGGGCATGGCGGACTACTCTTTGGCACCTGGCTTGACTGACCTGATCCTAATCACCTCATCCACTCTGCTGCTCAAAAAACATCCTGGTATCCTGCCATTTATCCCCATTTTGTTTTTGCTTATTTAATGGTAACGTAGTCTCTTACATTGTGACTTTTGCACTCTCTAATACTTCTGAATCGCTTGTTTCTCACTTTTTTGTCTGCATGCCTGCCTCTTGTCATTATCAGTTCCCCTCCCTGCTACACCAGCCTCCCTTGTGTTTTTCATTATATACCTTTAACCTCACATCCACCACTGATTCTGTGTCTGCTCTTGGATCCACTCAAAACCTAAACCTATCATCTCCTAGGCAGTGAGTCTTAACTGCATGAAATTGTGCACACTGCGCCCATATGATAAAAATATAAAAGAATTTTGATAATCCAAAAATGCGTAAGTTGTAGAGAAACAACTTTCTGTAGGTTATGTATAGAACAGGAGGTGATATATCCACATAGGTCTGTCCAATTAACATGAAACCTGGGCCAAAACCATGCCAAATTAGATGGCGATCTGGGGTGGCGCTTTTGTTGTGAATTCATAAAATATGCAAAACCTACTTTTCTCCCCCCGGACTCCTCCTAGGCAAA